GCGGCTGGGGCCCCCACTTGTGGCCTGTCTCCCCCCCACAGGCGTGTTCCGGGAGGCCACGACAGAGTTTAGCGTGGACGCCCGGGCACTGAGCACCACTGGGGGCCCCCATGTCAAGACCCGGGTGTCCAACCCCTCGGGGAACCTGACGGAGGCCTTCGTGCAGGACCACGGGGATGGCACGTACCGCGTGGAGTACACCCCCTATGAGGAGGGTGAGCTGGGTGCCAGGGTGTGGGGGGCAGGGCTGGGGCTGGAATCCAGCCCCCCTGCGTGGACGCCCGGGCACTGAGCACCACTGGGGGCCCCCATGTCAAGACCCGGGTGTCCAACCCCTCGGGGAACCTGACGGAGGCCTTCGTGCAGGACCACGGGGATGGCACGTACCGCGTGGAGTACACCCCCTATGAGGAGGGTGAGCTGGGTGCCAGGGTGTGGGGGGCAGGGCTGGGGCTGGAATCCAGCCCCCCTGATCTCCCTTCCCCTGGCCGGGGCCCCTGTGCCCAAGAGCCCCTTCCGGGTGCCGGTCAGCGAGGGCTGTGACCCCAGCCGAGTCAGGGTGCACGGGCCGGGCCTGCAGAGCGGCACCACCAACCAGCCCAACCGCTTCACCGTCGAGACCAGGTGAGGTGCCGGTCGGCAAGGCTCTGGCTCCAGGGGATGGGCTGGTGCCGGCTGGCTCCCGGGGGGCTGGGCCTGGAACTGGCATGGCTCCGCTCTGCCTGGGGCCAGGGCTGGCCGGCTCTGGCTCCTAGCTGGGAGGGGGCTGTTCCCCATTGTGCTTCTCTTGCCTTGCCCAGGGGGGCTGGCACCGGAGGGCTGGGCCTGGCTGTGGAGGGCCCCTCTGAAGCCAAAATGACCTGCACGGATAACAAGGACGGCAGCTGCTCGGTGGAATACGTCCCCTACGAACCCGGCACCTACAGCCTCAACGTCACCTACGGCGGGCGCCAGGTGCCAGGTGCGGCCAGGGGCTGGGCCGGGCTGTGCAATTGGGGGCAAGCTGCGTTGTGCCGGGGCGACTCCCCCCGAAGCCCCCAAGCACCCG